ATTATTTGGAGTATTAGTTGAACCCATCCTAATTAAGAACCAAAAACGTGACATAAATAAAATTTAATACTGGCAGAAACATCATAAAGATACTTAATAGCTCAGCCTCCAAATAATAAACCGCAACCCTCTCCTTTTTAATAATGAACTAATCCAGTTATTTCCACTTTTTGCGGCAAGACAGCATAGCGTAATGAAAATGGCCACAAACTTAATAAAAATAAAGTTTTATCGTCAAATGTTTATGTTGTTATTAAGATAAAAGAGCAAAGTTTTTTTAGTATTTTTTTGAAATATTTTAATCCTTTCAAAAACATTCAAAATTTTTGTTAAAATCTTGTTTTGTTTACATCAGCGCGGTGGCATAATAGTTACATTGACTTTTTGTGCTTTTTTTCTCCTTTGAAAACAAATTGATTTAGAAATTCTTGTAAAAAATCAAATAATTGTCCGATTTTAATGAAATTTTCAGAACTTATTCAAAAATGAACAAAATTATTTTTGAAAATTTTTTTAGAAAATTTTGGTGAAAAAAATGTTTTTTATTTACAAATGTTACCCACCACTTACTTAATTTCATGAAATTTCGCAAAATACCTTTCTATTTCCTGAATTTTTTATTCGTTAAAAGTAGGACTCCTTGGAGATTGTAAATCACCTATTTTTTTTTTTTTTTTTTTTATTTTTTCAGATCTGCGCTATTCTAACTGAAAATCTGCTCTGAATTGAAAAATAATAAATGCAATAAAACTATGACTTTATTTAATTTGAAAAGCTTTTAATTGTTTTTGTAAATAAGTTATATTAAGGACACTATTTTATGGAGAAATAAAATTTTTCCGATGAAAATTGAATTTTTACAAGAATTTTTTCATTTTTTAAAAAATGTTAATTATAATAATTTATAATAGTTTAAAAATCGTGTAAAATTTTGCCTACTTACTGGATGTGATAGAGCAATTAAGTAGAAACGAAATTTACGAATAAAAAACTGAAAAGATTAATAAACATAGTTACACTATTCTATTTTTTAAATATTTTTTTTTATTTTTACTTAATATGTTCCTTCTTTTCGGCTATGGTAGGCTCACATTGACATTATTATGAAAAGGTCACGTGATCTAATAGTTTTGTCCCTTTACAGAAAAATTCGCTCATTACTATTTACGTTTCAAAAGGTTTTCCCTTAAGCATTAAAAGTTTAAAATTAAAATTTTACTTTTTCAATTACTATTTCGCTAAATATTTATATTTTATGCATTTAAATTAGTGTGGGAATATTTCAGTTGAGTAATAAGGATCAACAAAAAATATTTTTTGTTCGTAAATTATTTTTAATTTTTTCAGTTTATTCTTTTTAATGGCAATTATTTTGATGAAGACGTTTAATTTAATTTTAAAACTAATGTTTAATAAATTTAAATTATTTTCCAACTTTATTTCATTCATATTTGAAATTAGTTTTCGGAAATTTATGTCAATTTGAGTCATCCATAAGTAGCAGTCCTCACATCGTCATTCAATCGTACACCAATTATTGGCTCAGTAAACAGGACCAATCATTAACTAATCGTTGTATATTCATTTTTTTAAGCAATAAGTAAGTAATATTTATTTCAAATCAGATTGATTTAACTTTAAATTTTCTAATTTTACTCAAATAACGTGTCAGAAACATATATATATATAATTGGGGAAGAATTTTAAAATCGATAAATTTGTTTTGTTTACAAATTTCTTAAAATTACGAAAATGGCCGCATTTAAAAAAACTTTAAGAAATGGAAATTAAATTTAACATTCCAATCTATCAGGTCATCCCATAAGTTCTGTCCGAATTTTACCTTTTTTTAAAATGAACGAAATTTAAAGAGTATTTTATAATGTCTAATGGAGCTGAACATTATTTTTATGTTTAGATGCATTTAAACTGATCAAATTTTATTTCAGAGAACAATAACATTAGATTTTGTTTGATTAAAACCCTGCTAACATGGAAGTACCCAAGAATCATTTGAGGCACATAATGCTTTATGAGTTCAAGAAAGGAAACTCAGCAGCCGAAGCGGCTAGAAACATTCACTCAGTTTATGGAGAGGAATGTGTGAATGAAAGAACTTGCAGAAGATGGTTTGCAAAATTCAGAGGTGAAGATTTCACCCTTGAAGATGAAGATCGAACCGGACATCCAGTTGAGTTTGATGAAAAGCTTCTTAAAGCAGTCCCTGAAGAAAATCCTGCTTTATCAGTTGAGGAATTGGCAGTGGTTCTCAGTTCAAAGCATACAACTGTTCATCGTCATCTTCAGCAACTTGGAAAAGTTCCTAAACTTGGAAAATGGGTGTCTCATGAACAACAAGGATGAAAACAACCTCAAATCCTGAGTTGACATCTGCTCTTTCTCCATTCTCGGCAACTTGTTTCACCTTTTTGGATAGACTTGTGACTGGCGACGAAAATGGATCTTTATCGAAATGTTAAGCGTCATAGACAGTGGCTTGGTAAAGGGGAAGGACCCCAGTCACAGCCGAGAAGAGAACAAAAGCTTCTTCTTTCAATCTGGTGGGATCGCCAAGGAATAATCCACTTTGAATTCTTACCACCTAATGCAACAATTAATGCTCAAATATACTGTCAGCAATTAGAGCGTTTGAACCAAGCTTTGAGGAAAAAAAGACGTGCTCTAGTGAATCGAAAAGAGGTAATGTTTCATCAGGACAATACGCGACCCCACACAGCAATAATCACGTCACAAAAGATCGAAGAACTTGGTTGGGAGAAAATTCCTTATCCACCTTATTCCCCCGATCTTGCTCCTTCAGACTACCATTTGTTTCGTAGCTTACAGAATCATTTGGAAGAAACAGGTTTTGTAACACAGGAAGAGGTTAAAACTGACATTTGTGAGTTCTTCGAATCAAAGCCAAAATAATTTTACAGTAATGGAATTAGTAAGCTTGGAAGTCATAGATAATCAGGGAAAATACATTGTTGATTGAATTTGTAATTAAATGTAACATTTGGTCACTTGTTTTCTTTATTCAAAATTCGGACAGAACTTATGGGATGACCTGATATATAATTTCTATAAGTAATACACAAGAATATTTTATTTACTGGAAATAGTGAATTTAATCATTTAGCTTTCAATTAAAGCTAAAATGAAATCTTCAAGAATGTTTTTTTCATTTTTAAAAAATCATTTTAAACTTTAAGTATCGAAAGCTAATGCCACAACACTGTCTAAATACCAAAATATTACCCATAAAACTAAAATAATAAACAACTTATTTTAAATCAAAACTGGCAAATTTTTACGTACTTACTCTGTGAATAAACAAGTCAGTGACTGAGAGAACTCAATTCAGGAAAGGGGAAGAGCCTTATAATATTAGTAGTAATAGTCATTGTTTACAAATTCGCACTTATCTTCCAAGAGTGCACAATCGAATTTAAGTTTTTTCGGGTGCGTATATATTGTCAACCACACACAGTCTGTTTCGCATCATTGTGAATAGACATCCGATTGATTCAAGCCAGGAACGAAACGATTGATTCGGCATATATATATATATATATATATATATATATATATATAGAGAGAGAGAGAGAGAGAGAGAGAGAGAGATAGATAGATAGATAGATAGATAGATAGATACGAGAGGCCATCCAAATATGGGGACTGTAAAAAGAAACCCCATATCAATTCGCCATTTAATCTCCTCCGAACAAGTCCCGTTCTGAAGACACAAACTTTATCCACCGTCGGCCGCACTCATTCTTGGAAGTCCTCTTTGGGGGGAAGGGGGGATAGAAAAGGTGCTTCTTTGCATTCTCTTGGATTACCTCGACGTCTTGAAATTTTGTTCCTTTCAATTGCGATTCGAGTCTTGAATATGAAAATTCCCAAAGCGCTATATCTGGGTATATATATATTATAATTTAAAATGTGTTTTTTTCGCTACACAGTTCTAAACATGTTTCAAAAATGGAAGCTAAAAGCTTCGAATTTAATTTTGTAATTAAATTAAAGTCATTAGTTCTATTTCATGCTCAATCGAATTTTGGAGTAACTTATTACTGGGTTTTAAAGGCACAGCAAAAATCTTAATTCACGTTTCCAAGGATACAGAGAAACCCATTCATCTAGACAAGGGGTGTTTTCGAGTTCATTATCGCTGTATTTTGATGTATCAGTTATTAGTTATGTTTTGGTAGGGGGTAGGGGTGTATTTTTCAATGAATTCTGACATCCGTTAAATGCATGTCGTCTGGATTTTTTAAAAATTTATTGTTAACGGCAAAAATTCTTATAGCATTTTTTTCTATTTGTATACTTAAAGATTTGGGGGGGGGTCGGTTAGAATATGTTTTATTTAACTACGATTTTAAATTCAGTGCTCAATTCAGGGAAAGGAAGAGCCTTATAATTGAATAAACACAAAAGAAAACATTACTTTACCAACGCGTTTCGTCCTCTGACTTACTTCTCAAGTTAAATGTCGTCATTTTATCTTTATTCGTATTGTCCTTTTACAGATATATTTTATTCATACCTGACTTTGTTAAATGATATTAATTATTGTAATATGATTTTATATTTCACAAATCATTATTTTTTATGACAAGAATATTACTTTTCTTTTATTGTTAATGTCTAAATGAGAAACATATTTCTAGGATAAGCTTTTAGTGGTACAAAATGTCAAGGCAGATGTTAATTCACTGAAACATGTTTGATTATTCATTAACAGACTCTCTCAAGCAAGCCTTTATTCTGTTGACTTTCATCGATGGCAAAACTCAGAAATGTATTTAAAAAACGAAAACATGTTGTGAGAGATACATTACGTTATTCATCCAAAGGTCACATAGCAATGTCCTTCCTCTCTTCATAGATAGTTTCATTTTTTTTATATCTTGGATTAAATTTGATTGTTTTCTAACCCCTTCTTTCATTCCACACATTTATTCGGACCTCGTTTCTATCTTTCCTTACAGTCAATACTTCCAACCTTGCTTCCTTCATTTTTTCCTCATTATTCCAAAATACCTCCCTTCTTACTTGCTATTATTCATTACAAAATCGTTTCCTTCTTTTCACCCTCTACTTCTTTCCAACCTCACTTCCTTTCGTTCCATCTCTTCTTCCAAACTTCGCTTCCTTCTTACTTGCTCCAATTCATTCCAAAATAACTTCCTTATTTTCACCCTACCCTTCTTTCCAACCTCGCTTCCTTCTTTTCCTCCTACCCTTCTTCCCAGCCTCATTTTCTTCATTATACCTCCCCATCTTTCCAACCTCGCTTCCTTCTCTTCCTCCTACCCTTCTTCCCAGCCTCATTTTCTTCATTATACCTCCCCATCTTTCCAACCTCGCTTCCTTCTTTTCCTCCTACCCTTCTTCCCAACCTCATTTTCTTCATTATACCTCCCCATCTTTCCAACCTCGCTTCCTTCTTTTCCTCCTACCCTTCTTAACAACCTCATTTTCTTCATTATATCTCCCCATCTTTCCAACCTCGCTTCCTTCTTTTCCTCCTACCCTTCTTCCCAACCTCATTTTCTTCATTATACCTACCCATCTTTCCAACCTCGCTTCCTTCTTATTTGCTCCCATTCATTTCAAAATCGCTTCCTTCTTTTCACCCACCCATTCTTTCAAACCTCACTTCCTACTTTTCTTCCTCCCAGTCTTTTCTACCTCGCTTCCTTCTTTTCTTTTTGCCCTTGTTTCCAACGTCACTTTCTTCATTTCTTCCTCCCCTTCTTACTTGTTCCCATTCATTCCAAAATCGCTTCCTTCTTTTCACCCACCCATTCTTTACAACCTCGCTTCCTTCTTTTCTTCCGCCCCTTCTATCCAACCTCACTTCCTTCTTTTCTTCTTCCCCTTCTATCCAACCTCGCTTCTTTCTTTTCTTCTTCCCCTTCTATCCAACCTCGCTTCCTTCTTTTCTTCTTCCCCTTCTATCCAACCTCGCTTCCTTCTTTTCTTCTTCCCCTTCTATCCAACCTCGCTTTCTTCTTTTCTTATTTCCAACCTCGCTTTCTTTTCACTTGCCCCCATTCATTCCAAATTCGCTTCCTTCTTTTCACCCACTCTTTCCAAACTAAATTGCTACTTTTCTTTCCACTTTTTTCCTACCTCGCTTCCTTCTTGTCTTCCTCCCCATCTTTCCAACCTCGCTTCCTTCTTATTTGCTCCCATTAATTTCAAACTCGTTCACTTCTTTTCACTCACCCATTCTTTCCTACCTCAATTCCTTCTTTTCTTCCCTCTTCTTTCCGACCTCGCTTGCTTCTTTTCTTCCTCACATTCTTTCCAACCTCACTTTCTTTATTTCTCCCTCCCCATCTTTCCAACCCCGCTCTGCTTTATTTGCTCCCATTCATTCCAAAATCTATTCCTTTTTTTTCATCTTTCCCTTTTTTCAACCTCACTTCTATCTTTTCTTCCTCCCCTTCTTTTCAACCTCACTTCCATCTTTTCTTCCCCCCCTTTTTTAACCTCACTTCCATCTTTTCTTCTTCCTCTTCTTTCCAACCTCACTTCCATCTTTTCTTCTTCCTCTTCTTTCCAACCTCACTTCCATCTTTTCTTCTTCCTCTTCTTTCCAACCTCACTTCCATCTTTTCTTCCCCCTTTTCTTTCCAACCTCGATTGCTTTTTACTTATTCCCATCCATCCCAAAATCGCTTCCTTCTTTTCACTCAGCCCTTCTTTCCAACGTCAAATTATTCATGTCTTCCTACACTTCTTTCCAACCTCGCTACCTACTTTTCTTCCTCCCTTTCTGTCTAAAGTCGCTTCCTTCTTTCTTGTTCCCATTCATTCCAACCTCACTTTCTTCTTTTCTTCTTTCCATTCTTTCCAACCTCGCTTCCTTATTACTTGTTCTCATTCATTGCAAAATCGTTTCCTTCTTTTCAATATCCACATGTTTCCAACCTCACTTCCTTCTTTTCTTCCTCCCCTTCTTTCTAACCTCACTTCCTTCTTTTCTTCCTCCTCATCTTTCCAACCTCACTTCCATCTTTTCTTCTTCCCCTTCTTTCCAACCTCACTTTCTTCTTTTCTTTTCCCCCTTCTTTCCAACCTCACTTCCATCTTTTCTTCCCCTTTCTTTCCAACCTCGATTCCTTTTACTTTATCCCCATCCATCCCAAAATCCTTCCTTCTTTTCTTCCTCCCCTTCTTTCCAACCTCATGTCTTCCTACACTTCTTTTCTTCCTCTACCTAACTTTCTTTCCAAAGTCGCTTCCTTCTTTCTTGTTCCCTTTCATTCCAACCTCACTTCCTTCTTTTCTTCTTTCCATTCTTTCCAACCTCCTTCCTTTCTTGCTCTCATTCATTCAAAATCGTTTCCTTCTTTTCAATATCCACATGTTTCCAACCTCACTTCCTTCTTTTCTTCCTCCCCTTCTTTCTAACCTCACTTCCTTCTTTTCTTCCTCCTCATCTTTCCAACCTCACTTCCTTCTTTTCTTCCTCCCCTTCTATCCAACCTCACTTTCTTCTTTTCTTTCTCCCCTTCTATCCAACCTCACTTCCTTCTTTTCTTCCTCCCCTTCTTTCTAACCTCACTTCCTTCTTTTCTTCCTCCCCATCTTTCCAACCTCACTTCCTTCTTTTCTTCCTCTCCTTCTATCCAACCTCACTTCCTTCTTTTCTTCCTCCCTTCTTTCTAACCTCACTTCCTTCTTTTCTTCCTCCCCATCTTTCTATCCGTACTTCCTTCTTTTCTTCCTTCCCTTCTATCCAACCTCACTTCCTTCTTTTCTTCCTCCCCTTCTTTCAAACCTCACTTCCTTCTTTTCTTCCTCCCCATCTTTCCATCCTCACTTCCTTCTTTTCTTCCTCCCCTTCTATCCAACCTCACTTCCTTCTTTTCTTCCTCCCTTTCGATCCAACCTCACTTCCTTCTTTTCTTCCTCCCCATCTTTCCAACCTCACTTCCTTCTTTTCTTCCTCCCCTTCTATCCAAACTCACTTCCTCCTTTTCTTCCTCCCCATCTTTCCAACCTCACTTCCTTCTTTTCTTCCTCCCCATCTTTCCAACCTCACTTCCTTCTTTTCTTCCTCCCCTTCTTTCCAACCTCACTTCCTTCTTTTCTTCCTCCCCTTCTATCCAACCTCACTTCCCTTTTCTTCCTCCCCTTCTATCCAACCTCACTTCCTTCTTTTCTTCCTTCCTTTCTATCCAACCTCACTTCCTTCCTTTCTTCCTCCCCTTCTATCCAACCTCACTTCCTTCTTTTCTTCCTCCCCTTCTATCCAAACTCACTTCCTCCTTTTCTTCCTCCCCATCTTTCCAACCTCACTTCCTTCTTTTCTTCCTCCCCATCTTTCCAACCTCACTTCCTTCTTTTTTCTTCCTCCCCCTTCTTTCCAACCTCACTTCCTTCTTTTCTTCCTCCCTTCTATCCAACCTCACTTCCCCTTTTCTTCCTCCCCTTCTATCCAACCTCAATTCCTTCTTTTCTTCCTTCCTTTCTATCCAACCTCACTTCCTTCCTTTCTTCCTCCCCTTCTATCCAACCTCACTTCCTTCTTTTCTTCCTCCCCATCTTTCCAACCTCACTTCCTTCTTTTCTTCCTCCCCTTCTATCCAACCTCACTTCCTTCTTTTCTTCCTCCCCATCTTTCCAACCTCGCTTCCTTCTTTTCTTCCTCCCCTTCTATCCAAACTCACTTTCTTCTTTTCCTCCATCTTCTTTCCAATCTCGCCTCCTTCCTTTCATTGCAATCTCGCCTTGCATCCTTTCATTCTAAAATCGCTTCCTTTTTTTTCACCCTCCCTTTCTTTCCAACCTCACTTTTTTCTTTCCGCCTCTCCCTCTCCCAATCTCGCTTCCTTCAATTTCTTCACCAGAAAAAAAATGGTGGTGACGATACAGGTATAGACACTGTTGATAAGATAATGCGGAAGGTAGGACTCGGTTACAAATTAACCTTGGCTCTCGTAAAGTGAAATGACATTAAGTAGACGTTTATGGGACAGTTTTTCAGGATTATATATACATTCATATATATATATATATATATATATATATATATATATATATATATATATATATTACATCATTTCATTATATAAAAAGTACATTAGTAAAGTTAATGATATAAAATGGCGAAAAACTTCTTCGTTAACAAAATTTTAATGTTGCATTAATCTACGAACCACTTGATGAATGATATTATCCTTGTTTTTAATAATTCAAGTTGTATAAGGTCTTTTTTTATTCTGCTAGTACTTTCGGCTGTACATACAATCATTCTCCGGCATAGAAATTAATTTGTTTTTTTAGTAAATCCAGGTAGTAGCGGACACGAAAGATTAAATGCAGCCATTTTCGTAATTTTAAGAAATTTGTAAACAAAACAAAATCGATTTTAAATTCTTCAATATTTTAAATATATATATATATATATATATATATATATATATATATATATATATATATATATATATATCTGACACGTTATTTGAATAAAGTTAGAAAATTTAAAGTTAAATCAATCTGATTTTAAATAAATATTAATTACTTATAGCTTAAAAATGATATATACAACGATTAGTTAATGATTGGTCCGGTTTACTAATTGGTGTACGATTGAATGACGACGTGAGGACTGCTACTTATGGATGACTCAAATTGACATAAATTTCCAAAAACTAATTTCAAATATGAAGGAAATAAAGTTTGAAAATAATTTAAATTTATTAATCATTAGTTTTAAAATTAAATTAAACGTCATTATCAAAATAATTGCGATTAAAAAGAATAAACTGCCAAAATTACGAACAAAATGATTTTTGTTGATCCTTAAAAAAGTTTTTAAAAAATTACTCAACTGAAGTATTCCCACACTAATGTAAATACATAAAATAAATATATTTAGCGAAATAGTAATTGAAAAAGTAAAACTTTAAATTTTAAAGTTTTAATGCTTAAGGGAAAACCTGTTGAAACGGAAATAGTAACGAGCGAATTTTTCTGTAAAGGGACAAAACTATTAGATCACGTGAACTTTTCATAATAATGTCAATGTCAGCCTACCATAGCCGAAAAGAAGGAACATGTTAGATAAAAATAAAAAAATTATCTTAAAAATAGAATAATGTAACTATGTTTAGTAATTTTTTCAGTCTTGTATTCGTAAATTTCGCTTCCACTTAATTGCTCTATCCCATGCTGGAAATAGGCAAAATTTTACACGATTTTTAAACTATTATAAATTATTATAATTAACATTTTTAAAAAAAATGAAAAAGATTCTTGACAAATTCATTATTCATCGGAAACATTTTATTTCTTCATAAAATAGTGTCCTTCATATAAATTATTTACAAAAGCAATTAAAAGCTTTTCTAATTAAATAATGTCATACTTTTATTGCATTCATTATTTTTCAATTCAGAGCAGATTTTCAGTTACAATAGCGCAGATTTGAAAAAAATCAAATAAATAAAAATAAAAAATAGGTGATTTACAATCTCCAAGCAGTCCTACTTTTAACGAATAAAAAATTCAGGAAATAGAAAGGTATTTTGCGAAATTTCATGAAATTTCGTGTGTGTAACAAATGCACGGTCCCAATTTTTTGCCCCAAAATTTACATGCACATAATCCAAGTTAGCGGGAAGGCCAAACCCGACTTTACATTTCCCAACTCCCATCGATAGTGGAAATAATCGATTTTGTCATGCTTCTGCGGCAGTTTTCATATAGTTTGCGGCTATTTTCTACTGGATAGAGTGAGAGCCAATAGCTAGCTGCCACGAATAGGCAGGAAGATTCTATTGGCCAGCGTGAGAGCCAACAGCTGACTGAAACGAATGTTAACTAGCACGGTAAATATTAACCCTTTGAGCTTTGCGTTCCTGAACAATTTTAACCCTTCTGCCTGAGATCCTGATTCAAAATTCGCAAATAATTGGTAAGTTAGGTTTCCCGGTAGATATAAAAATATAGTTTTCCTTTGCTTGTAGACTATTGATTATTGATTACTAATATATACATTTATGAGATACAAAAATTTACCTGTCTGTATTTCTGAGATGAGGTATTATGTACACTATTTACATTATTCAGACAGTTGTCCACATTTTGTCACCATATTTATTACAAGGTTCCGGCCTTTCAGTATCTGTCTATATTTCTGAGATGATGTATTATGTACACTATTTACATTATTCGGACTATTGTCCTCATCTTTCTCGCCATATTTATTACAAAGTTTCGGCCTTTCAGTATCTGTCTATATTTCTGAGATGAGGTATTATGTACACTATTTACATTATTCGGACTATTGTCCTCCTCTTTGTCGCCATATTTATTGCAACGTTTCGGCCTTTCAGTATCTGTCTATATTTCTGATATGAGGTATTATGTACACTATTTACATTATTCGGACTATTGTCCTCCTCTTGGTCGCCATATTTATTGCAACGTTTCGGCCTTTCAGTATCTGTCTATATTTCTGATATGAGATATTATGTACACTATTTACATTATTCGGACTAGTGTCCTCATCTTTGTCGCCATATCTATTACAATGTGTCGGCCGTTGTATTCTCCAGGATTTTTCAGGTGGTTGGAATGTCGAACTGAACTCTAGAACTCCAGGGGAATACAACGGCCGAAACGTTGTAATAATAACTGACATCCATTAAAAATAGTAGCAGGTGGAAAATAGAACAGTACCAGTGTTCTAGTGAAATAAAAGGGGTTCAGTCCGAGATTACAACGCCCTGAAGAAGAAATATGGAGCGTACAAGGGCCGAAAACGTTGTAATAAATATGGCGACAAAGATGAGGTCAATAGTCCGAATAATGTAAATAGTGAACATAATATTCATCTCAGAAATATAGACAGATACTGAAAGGCTGAAATGTTGCAATAAATATATGACAAAGAGGAGGACAATAGTCCGAATAATGTAAATAGTGTACATAATAATTCATCTCAGAAATATAGACAGATACTGAAAGGCCGGAACGTTGTAATAAATATGGCGACAAAGATGAGGACAATAGTCCGAATAATGTAAATAATGTACATAATACCTCATCTCAGAAATATAGACAGACACTGAAGGGCCGAAACGTTGTAATAAATATGGCGACAAAGATGAGGACAATAGTCTGAATAATGTAAATAGTGAATACTTTACCTATCCCCGAATTAAGCCAATGTCTATAGACTGAAATATAAACGATTGATAAATTTATGCGCCATGTCCCTTCAGGACATTAAGCGATCAAGGTCTTCCACATCTTCCTGTCCCTTTTGTCTTTTTTAAATTTGTCCAATTTCGGTAGCACAGAAGACGTCACGGAATTTAATTCTATAAGGGTCTAGAATTAATCCAAGCCCCCTTGAAGCTTCCCAGAAGCTCAGTGCCCAAAGGGATTGATCAAGACCATCAAGTATGATGCGTACAGTTTTCCTCTGTCTCACTTTCCCTCAATATGTCCTGTAAGTATCAATTTTCTAAGCCCTCTTTCCTCATTACGCGCCCCAGGCATTTTGACTGCCTCTTCCAGGTGTTAAGTATAAGTTTCCTTTTTTATTTCTGTTATTAGCCAATCCACAAATTAAGCCATTTCTTAGAGTCTAAACTATAAATGATCAACATTTACCTATCCCCAAAACGTAAGAAATGTTTATAGACACAAATATAAATGTTCAATATTTACCTATCATTGAACGAAATAAATGCTTATGGACTGAAATATATACACCAAACATTTACCTATTCCCAAAACCTCAGAAATGTTTATAGACATTAATATATATCTTCAACATTTACCTATCCTTGAACTAAATAAATGCTTATAGACTGAAATATATACACCAAACATTTACCTATTCCCAAAACCTCAGAAATGTTTATAGACATTAATATATATCTTCAACATTTACCTATCCTTGAACTAAATAAATGCTTATAGACTGAAATATATACACCAAACATTTACCTATTCCCAAAACCTCAGAAATGTTTATAGACATTAATATATATCTTCAATATTTACCTATCATTGAACGAAATAAATGCTTATGGACTGAAATATATACACCAAACATTTACCTATTCCCAAAACCTCAGAAATGTTTATAGACATTAATATATATCTTCAACATTTACCTATCCTTGAACTAAATAAATGCTTATAGACTGAAATATATACACCAAACATTTACCTATTCCCAAAACCTCAGAAATGTTTATAGACACAAATATAAATGTTCAATATTTACCTATCCTTGAACTAAATAAATGCTTATAGACTGAAATATATACGCCAAACATTTATCTCCAAACCAAGGAAATGTTTATAGACTCAAATATAAATGTTCAATATTTACCTATCCTTGAACTGAATAAATGCTTATAGACTGAAATATATACGCCAAACATTTACCTATCCCCAAACCTAGGAAATGTTTATAGACTCAAATATAAATGGCCTATATATACATTTGACTGAAGTTAATGGTGCTTGATTCGATTATAAACAAGTGATTGAGTATCATTTAGCTCTAAAACTCCGAAAACCCGAAGGTTTTTCAGTTGCTGACATGATTTGATACAAATGGAAAATTTCAGAAATCACCGTGAAGATTCCTAGGTGATGAGCAGCGGTTGTAAGTGACTTCCTCTACCCTGGGTGACGGTTCACCAGCCCAGCTACGAAGCATATGTTGGCGCCAGTTTTTGTTAACGATCGTCAAAGCAACAGCTTCGTTCGTAAATTACTTACCAGGTGTTTTGTACCCAGTAAAGATATTATTCAAAATATCAAAAAATCCTGCATTTATATATATATTTTTGCAAGTGGTGATCATGTTTTTCGTACAAGTACAGAACGTACAAAACATTATTTTTACGTGAAATATAATTTCACTTCTTGAAAATTCGTGTGATTACCTGTATCTGTACGTACACAAAATAGATTAAAT